GGAAATCTCAATAGAAAAGTTAATTTTTCCTTTTAAAATCCTAACAAAAAAACTGTACATGTTTATGACAGTCAATTTCACCAATTAGGATAAAAAAAGGAAAAGTGTTAAAGTGCAAAAAGAAAAAAATAGGGATGAGAAAATAGCGATATGCGTGTAAGGGAGATCACTGACGGAACGCCGTTCGAAGGGGAATAACCAACATAAAACGCGCCACAATAAATGTCTAGCCATGCCATGCAGACACAACACACGTCGGGATTTGCAAATAATAATAATAATAATCCAAACACCATTCGACGACAATAGTAATTTACCCTAGTTTTTTGTGTCCTGATTAATGTTCGTAGTTATCTGAAAATGTCAAAAATTGGGATAAACAATTTTATAGAGAGTAAAGTTGATTAGCAGATATAGAATTTCTAAGTATGTAGTATCAATGATTAATAATTTTCCACTTTAATGTTTCATCAATTCCAACAGCAGCAGAGTTGTATTATTCCATTTAAAATACATACCCACTTACAGATGAAGTTGTATTTCTTTCTATTATAGAAAACTATTCACCATGTATACATATCACACCAACAGAAAACGTTTGATTATATATTGGTGACTTTTTTTTCTTGCATACATTAAAAAGAAAAAATGTTAATTAGAAAACAATAGTAAAAGATAAAAAGAATATAAAGAAGAAATAAAATAGTTACTGAAATAAAAATATGCTGAAATTAAGTTAGATAAAAAAATTATGGCACTTTTAAATGACAATTTAAAACAATTTGGAGGAATTTGGTGCTTGATACATATCTTATTAAAAACTTTTAATCACAGATTTTATAGGATATTAATAGATAATCAAATTAGTATCCAAATAGAGAACCAAATATAAAAACATCTTAATAATAAACTGAAAACAATCCAGGTTTTAAAAAAAATTCAATTACATAAGTTTACAACAATATTAAAATGACAATTTTGCTATAAATTAGCCTTGTATAAAAAAAAAATAAAAAAAATCAATCTACATTAGAGATTGGATGTTTACTTATACACAGTAGGTGAACCAATAAAATTTATATACAAGAAAAATAATTTGAAGGCATATTCTGGATATCTGATTACAATAAATAAGATGATATTAATAAAACATCAAGCAAAAAGAATTTACTAAATTGTAAGTAAAATAGGCACAAATTTTCATTTTTGAGCATAGCTTGAGCAAGAATTAGTATAATCTGTGAGGCAATGGGTTAAATTTAGCTAAAAGAAAAGCTTAGCAGGTTGAAGCTAGTATAAAAATCGTCCACACCAATAATAATTATCAGTTTTGCTGATTTCATTCTAAGCACAGTCAATATTTCTATCAACTGAACCTGAATTTACAGTTTCAATATGAAATACAACCAATATTGATAAAGTGGTAATTACAAGAGAGACAAACTAGAATTTGTTTTCAATTGGAGGGTGATCGAAATTGTTTTCATGAGAGTCCATTAACTTGGGAAAACTATTTCATATCTAAAAATCTGTAGAATTAGAGATTTTTAAAATAAACCTTACTGCATATAAACAGGTAATGAGGAAATTTTTTTCTTTGTTTTTTTTTTTAATGTCAGATTTAATTTCAATCTGATTTTCTGTTATATGAACTTAAAGCTTCCAAGTAATTGAGAACACAAAAATGATGCTATTAAAATTTTAAATCAAGCCTAAATAGAGCTTGTGTGTGTGTGTGTGTGTGTGTGTAGAGACAAATACAATACAGAAAAGATACTTATATTTTACCATTTTGCAACTTTCCCAATAGATTAAATAATACTCTGTATATTTTTTTACATTTTACAGTGAGCACTGTCTTCATGGTTCTATTACTTATTTTATATAAGAATTGTATGTTATTTGTCACTTCACAGATTACCAATAATTTTGAAACCAATAACATTAGAACAATTGACTTATGTCTAATGAAGCTTAATTTCAGATTTCGTAAATTAAACATGGAAAAAAATCCCTGTAATTAGATCATGGTTTATATCAACTGAAGCTGTGTGGAGATTTCAATTTGTTGTTTAGCTCTCATTGTCTAAGTACTATTGCTAGCTGTCAAGCAAAACTGTGGCAATAGATGAAGTCACATTGAACTCATCTTAATCCGACTTTTTTAAGTGGCCATTTTGAATTTAGTAAGGGAAGCTGTATTGGGGGGTATCTAAGAATCTTATATGCAGGAATGCATTCTTTGTTCAGAAATGTGAATTCTCTTGATGACCATATTTGCATTATTTAATAATAATTAAAGTTTTCATATACATTTTCTGTAGAAAATGATTGCACACAATGTCCACAATAACTAATGTTATCAGTAGCCAAACTATCTCTGACTACCCCCCCCCCCATACAGGCATGTACTTGTCATTATCATCAACCAAAGTTATATATTCCTTGCAATCCTTCAGCCAATAAATTAGCAAATGAAATATTGCTGTAAAAAATTTTTTCTTCTTTTGTCAAGGTTACCAAAATCAGGAATGAGATTTTTTTCAGCCTCCTTAAGCAGTCAATTTTTCCTGCTTCAATACTAAACTTAATTCATTAATATTATAGATCAAATCTGATAAAGTTTGAGTTTCTAACTAGTTCAGCTGACCAATCAATTGCCTGACTTTTGTAGCCTCATCTTATGATATTTTAAGCATTTTAGTTCCGATTAAGATCATCATCATTCTTCAATCTCCCTTGTGGTTGGTCAAAACACCCTTAACAATCCCTTTCCATATTGCTCAGTCCTGCATTGCTGTCCCCAGATCCCCAATGTTCAACCCAGAGTCCTGAGCCATGCTTAATGTCAATTTTTGTGAGTAGACACCTCCAGAAGGATGCCATAGAATTAAGGATGAGGTAACCACCCTGTATGCTTAGTGGCATTGGCCAGTTAACTGGCATCGTTTTTGTTTGAGCTTGAGAGAGATTGGTCTCAGTTCTCTGTAAATTATGTTAAGTGTTGCATGGGATCTCCAACTGACGTTCTGGATTTTTTTAAAGCAGATTTGTAGATGTTCCATCCAGTTGTCTTTCAAGACAAACAGATAATGTCCAAGTTTCTGATCCATACAGTCGGATTGGTTCAATCAATGTTTGGACTTGTAAAGTGGATGGAAGGTTTGAGTGCTAAATCTTCTGAAATTTGTTACATGCATCCTATGCAAGAGCTTTACGGATGTTGAAGTTATTTTGGGAATTTATTATGTGAGATCCAAATTATTTTAATAGATGTATTATTGAGTGACTTCAACTCAGATGGTTCACTGGAGGTTGTGATATATTCTGTCTTACTTACAATGCAATAGAGACCTACCAGATTTTTAATATATTTATCTTGCTCAGGTATTATATGCTCTGTGACTATATTCAAGGTAATATACTCAAAATAGATTGGATTTTTTAAAAATTATCAAGTTGGTCTATAAGACTTATAAAGAAAAAGAAAACCTGGTTGAGCAAAACAGAAGTCATCATGTTAGCTGGTGATAATGGCATGCACTTTATGACTAATATACTGTATAAAATTGGCTGGGTTATACTTTGAGGGAAATTCTCCTAGCTTTATTTATTTCTAACTATTAAATACCATAAATGAAATGCATCTGCTGATCCATATACACACACTGACAGATTCTAAAAGGTAACCTTAGGGTACTTTGGCCTTTAAAAGTGGACACACGGGAAAACTGTTTTAATATTTATTTATTTATATATTTCTTCTATTTTGAAGATATTATGATAAGCATAAAACCTTCCTTGAAACATCTAGAGGAACCATTTCTAATGTTAACTGCTTCAATATCTTGAGTGGGAAAACTGTTTAACATTTTTAGGTAGAATAGATTTATCAAGATGTAAAATGAATATGATAAACAAATGCATTTGGTTACATACTCTTCACTTTGAAATATTTATTATGAATTTTCTATTTGAAGTTCAGCATACATTTTTACTAATTATCATATTGCAATGTAAGTCCTGATATTTAAAGAATATACATTTACTTTTCAGTTCTGTACACTACTTAAATGCAAGGTCTTAGCTAATTGCACAAGTGAAACATTTACAAATTTAATGGAGGTTTTGTTATCCAACTAAAAAAAAATCATTACTCATTTTCTGAGAACAGCAAAAGCCATGATTTTTAAGTGACTAATTTTTGGTTTCTGCATTCATATTTTATAAAGCATGAAAATGATTTCAAATGTTAATATTCCAATAATGGACATGAATTTTCTTAACCTTGCTCTTTATTCTTGTTTTATATTTGTAGAATTTGTAGTTACATCAATTAGAGAACTTTTTCAATCTGGTAGAACTGATAATAATACTAAGTTTGAGCATGAGCTATACAATCTTAATATGCTCCTTATAAAAAAATAAATAAAAAATAAAAAAATATTAAATAAATGAGAACAGAAAAATATCTATATGATTACATACTAAACTTTATATTAATATGCAAATGAGGAAACTTATAGCCATTTGACTTAGGAGTCAGTTACTAGCAGTTGGCACCAACAAAAATATATCCAACTATTTAAGATGGGCAGTATGGACTTCTTTCAATAAGAAGCAATACCATTAACTCAAATTTGATGCAAAAGTTTCTTTTTGAATTTCTTTATTTTAGAAGTTTTATACATGCAAAAGTAAACTAAGATGCCAGTCATGACTTAGACTAAAGGCTTTAGTGAATTCATGATTGTAAATCTGTACAGATCATATAGAAAGTGAAAGAAGAAAGAGTGGTAATAATAAAAATGTTAAAATAAGAGGAAAATTATGGTTTTTGGTAAAAAGAACAAAAACAACACTGAATATCAGAATAAGACTTTCATTTAACGAAAGTATTGTTTGCAATCTAAAGACAATGTTTGTTTCAAGCAAAGAGAGAGTGAGAGAGAGTAATTGAGGAGCAAGTAACTTATCTGCAGAGATAGCATGTAGCTCACCTGCTCTAATGGAAACTTCTAATTGTCGGCCTCTCAGCTCCAAATCTGTCAGTTTACTGTCTATGTCCATTAGTTCTCTTTGGATTTCATCTGTGGATAACTGCTTCTGTATGAAAATGTTGAATGTTTTTAGAAGAAAGCCCCGAAAATTTGAAGTTGCGACATTCTAGAGTAGTCATCATCCAGTAGAAGTTTTGAAGAGTGCATATTTTGGTGTAGACAGTATGCGAGAAAGCATCATGGCAGTAAAACTAGGACAAACATTTGGGATTTTACCATTCAAGCTACAGCATCATTAAAAAAAATAAATAGTCAAAAATTCATATTTTATTATTGCCATTATAAAGAGTTGCTTATAATTCCTTTATCTTTTTTTTTTTTTAGTTTGTTTTTATTTTATCTTGTTCATCTAATACTAGGAAGAAGAGCCACTCAAGTAGATGGTTACTAAATGATGTTACATATAGATAATTGTTGATTTGAAGAGGTTAAGATTGTAGTGATTGGGGAAGCATTCCCTCAAGAGTCTGTTCTACAAAGTAACAGTTCTGGGAAAGAGTCTGAATGGAATTTTTGATCCTGTAAACATAACATGGTAGGTTTTAGTGGTAAAAGATCTGAACTGGTGGAACTAAGGAATGTAACTCATCAGAACATTTTCCATGGAAATAGTGATAGAGTAGCAAGAGGCTTATGACATTTCATCTGTAGGAAAGGGGTTGTAGGCTGGAAAATAATTCATCACCCACAAGGTCATGTAGAACTCTTTCAAGGATGAAAAGAGAGGAAGGAGTAACTTCAGCTCAGATATGACAGCAATAGTTCATTTTTGGTCTGATCTGACTTTTATAAAGATTGGGTATTGCAGGAAGAATGGGATACTTCTAGAGTGGTACAAGAACAGACTATTTTTTCTGCCACTTAATACATGATCTAGCAATAGATCATAGAGTTTAATTTCAGGTCTGGGGTGGACCTGATTCTCAATCGACATTTAAAACAAGGAGCCATATTGAGAGTACAATCGGTTATCATGACTGAAGAGTGTTCAGAGTTTGTACAGTGGTGATGAAATCTTACTAGCTTCATTTTGGAGGTATTGAATGTTATAAGCTAGTTTCCCATCCAATGAAATATTAGAGAAGAGACTAATTGCCAAACTCTAGTTATTTAGAATCTATCAGATCAAAACAAAATATTCTTATGGAAGTACACAACACAGCAAAAAGAATTAAAGTTAAAAAGCCACACATGCTTTGTTACATGTAACAAAAAAAAAAAAAAAAAAAAAAAAAAAAAAACAAACAAACAAAAAAACAAACAAACAAAAAAAAAAAAAAAAAAACAAACAAAAAAAAAAAAAAAAAAAAAAAAAACAAAACAAAAAACAAACAAACAAAAAAAAACAAACAAAAAACAAAAAAAAAAAAAAAACAAAAAAAAAACAAACAAACAAAAAAAAAAACAAACAAAAAAACAAACAAAACAAACAAACAAACAAAAAAACAAAAAAAAAAAAAAAAAAAAACAAACTTCACGACATGCATACAAGAGGAATATTTATGTCTTCATCAAATAGCATAGTTAGGTAATCTGAAGCATAACAAAACAGAACTAATTAACATTTAAAAACCTTATGAAAACAGTCACTAATGACTTGGGTCTTGAATAAATGTCGGGGAGTAGGTTGAAATTCCACTACAAAATTTAAGTTTTAGAATCTGTATCAAATTAGTTTTGCAATTGTAAATGTTAATTTTCTTAGAAATGAAATTTTTTTTTTTCTAAAAACTTTCCATAAAAATAAATAAGCAGATACGATGAGTTATGACACAGAGGTGTAGGAACTGTTTTAAAAATGAAAAAGTAGAGTATGTGTGTGTCTGTATGTTTACAATTATTACAGACCCAAGCGTATATTAGAGACAATATTCAAACATTTACACTGAGTATACAATGCTAGCAGTTGTCTTTACATTCAGAAAGTTTTGTCTGTTTTGCACAAAATTTGATTACAAAGAAAATTGCATGCATTGAGCTACACAGTAATCTAACAGGGAAAAATTCCTGACAGTATGTTTTTCCAACTATCGTCAACAACTTGTCAAAATATATTTTCAAGCAAATAAATGAATGCTTGCAGATGAAGCTGAAATTCAAACTTTACTTTTAAGGACTATAAGTCATGTTTCATCCCTCCAAATATAAAGATTAGGAAAAAGGTCTTTAATTGTGCAAAACTATATCAGCATTATTTTTTATTTTGTTAACTGAAAGCTAATATATTGTCACAGCTTTGAATTGTAAAATTAAAAATGCAATAAACTATGAGATTATTTAATTAGAAAGACTTAATTGCTTTTATGAAAAATATTTATTAAGGTCACTATTGTTTTAAGAAAAAAATTTTTTTCAATGAATAATGAATTTTTACATGAAAAATTTATTTAAAAAAAAATTTAATTATAATAATTTATAATAATTTAAATTGTTTAAAATTCTGCATTACTTCCTTTCAGTTAGATGAGATTGTAATTAAGTGGAAACTATATTTATGAATCAAAAATTGAAAAGCTTAATATAGGTCATTTTGCACCAAGACTTTAAAAATACTTAATTTTTTTTTTTATGTATATAAAATATTATGTAACATGCCTCCGTTTTTGAAAGTATGGTGACCATATATGACAATCAAAAAATAATAATGATGATTATAGTAAATTTAAATTAAACATTCTTAAAATTAGATTAAGAGAATATTTTTCAACATTTTTAAGATTACCGAGTACTTAAAAATTATATAAAAAAGGCGCTCACCTGTCATTTTCTTAAATTATGTTTTACAGATAAAGTCACTGTAGAACAATAAATATGTCAACACCATATCTCTGCCTGTTAAATGATCAATTAGCATTGAGTAACAAGCACAAACACTGCTACTGTTTGTTTTAAAAATCCATTTCTCTGTTATTGTAAACTTAAAGTAAATATTTGTTTCAAATCAGGTTAATTATACTTTAAATCAGCTAATATTTCTCAAAGTTTCAAAAAGTATATTTTATTTTTGGAAGCTTTTTAAAACTGAGAATTAACTTTTGTTTACAAATGCATAAAAAATGGCTGAATTTAAATGATTTCTGAAAACAAGTAAAAAGTTGAGATTCTAATCAATATAAGTTCTATTTAAAATACAAAGTATCTTGCTTACTGGAAATAGTAGATTTAATCATTTAGCTTTCAATTAAAGCTTAAAACAAAGCTTCAAGAATGCTTTTTCATTTTTAAAAATTCATCTTAAGCCTTAGATATTGAAAATTCAGTGGAGGTGACTTCATAAAGACTACATTTGAAAAGATTCAGAACAGAATTCAAAATCAGTTCAACCCTTCAGAGATACATTTATTTTTCAAATCCTCCCCTTGGAAGAGAAGGTAACCAAGACTTGTGTGTATTCTATGCCAAGCAGTTGTGGCAATGAATACATGAGAAAGCCCAGCTGGCAAGAGTAAAGCCTAAAAGAACATTAAAAGGATATAGTCTGGGGAAGAGACATTGAAATCAAATATTGCTGGTCATGTAGGGAAGAACAATGTGTGGTTATCAACCATTGTGGAATGAAGTAAAAATAATAAAACACCGGAGAATAAGAGGTGTGAAAGAATTATTGCTTTGTGAATAAATTGGATAGTATTAATGGAGGAGAGATATGCATGAAAACACACCAAATCCATAGATCGGTTTAAGATTCCAAGAAGGTTATCAAGTATGATGACAGATACGTGAAAAAGGCTGAAGGGTACAATAACTCAAGTATTTTGTGTATATTTGTTCAAATTAGTAAATACATAATGATAATTACTCATCTAAAAAGATTCCAATATAAATTATACCACAATTAACTGTAAAACAGACTAAGGTGACTTGTTGCTCTTGATTACTGTTTTGATATTATGCAATTTCTTATTTCAGAATAGTGAAATTTATTCAAAATGTTCAGAGATATTACATCAGCAAAATTCCTGGACATTTATCAGTGTTCAACAGGGATTTAAACTAAATTATTCCATTGTAAGTTATCAACTATGACTTCCTGATATGAGAAATTTAAACATTTTTTAAACTGTTGCTTTATTAATTCTATCATTAGTTAGTATGAATAAGAAACAATATTACACCATTCTCTTGAAACAAACAAGACAAAAAACAACAAGACAAAAACCAAAACCAACAAAACAAAAAACAACAACAACAAAAAAAAAAAAAAAAAAAAAAAAAAAAACTTACTTTGGGGTTACTCCATTCCAAAGAATCTAAATCTTGTTTTGGCAGAACCTGTTTGCGGTATGGGAAATCTAGGGAGGTATTTGAATTCAAACTATCATCAAAGTTAAATGTCAAGTTTGAGGTGACAGAAATTTTCTTCAAACCATGTCTGTTTTGATTACCATCACCATTTTTCTCATTTTCCAACTGTGTGGTTGTATCTGGAAGCACAAATCGTGTTATCCGAGTCTCAGGATCAACATACTTTCCCTTGCGAGCTGCCATCCGACGTTCTGCCTCTAGTTGCCATTCAGTCTTGGAAGTGTCACCAGTGTCTTGGCGTTCACTGAGAGCCCCATTTGTTTTATGGGAGTTGGTAAAATTGTTATGACTTAGATTACTCTCAATTGGATTTTCTTTATTCTCTCTAGTTGTGTTTGGAATCAAGCCAGGTTTTTGCCGTTTTGGCTTAGGGATGGGATTCACTCTCATATCCAAAGTGGGGACTGTGGCAGTTTTAGAAGGTTCAAAAGTTGTTTTAGGACTAGAATCACTCAATTTGGGAGTATAGTGAGCAGGATGGAGCTTAGTTAACCCAATGGAACATGGAGACATTGAAATTTCCTTTTTACTAGAATTTTTGTCTTCTTCCACTTGTTTAATATGAGGAAGCCTTTTAGAAGTGTATTCATTGACAGAACTTTTATCTGGTTGACTCTGGGAAGTCAGATATGAAGGTTGCTTCACCTCTTTGATAATTTCAGCTTTACTGGAAGTCTGTCCATTTTTATCATAAGTTTTTACCACTGCTGGAGGCATACACACAGTTTCTGATTTATTGTCCATTTTCTTTGGTGTTGATGGAGATACAATATGGTGACTGACTGTATTGTGCTCTTTTGTAGATTCAGAGGCCAAAGATTTCTTGACATCTATGGGTGTGATGGTTGTTGAAGTGGTAGTAAATGTGTTTTGTTTGTGAGATGATTGCCAATCTTCTTTTTTGTCATTATTATTACCAAGAATAATCTCTCTTTTTGGTGATTGTTCAGAAAGTGGCTTCTCTACACCAGCAGCAACTTTAGAATACTGTTCAATCCTCTCAAGAATACTCTGAGGTCTGTTATCTTTAGTCATGCTTAATTTGTCTGTAGTATGTGTATTTACTGATGATGTAACTAAAGTGGTCAACTTTGCTGATGAATCAGTTTGTAGAGGAGGAGCAGTTATTTTAGAAAGGTTTGACCTGGCAGAGGAGACAGACTGGGATGAAGAACTTTCATTAGCAATCTGGGAGACTTTTGACTTAGCGGGAGAGGCAGAACGGGATGAAGAACTTTCAGAAGTAATCTTGGAGACTTTTGACTTAGCGGGAGAGGCAGAACGAGATGAGGAACTTTCAGAAGTAATCTGGGAGACTTTTGCCTTAGCGGGAGAGGCAGAATGAGATGAAGAACTTTCAGAAGAAATCTGGGAGACTTTTGACTTAGCGGGAGAGGCAGAACGAGATGAAGAACTTTCAGAAGAAATCTGGGAGACTTTTGACTTAGCGGGAGAGGCAGAACGAGATGAAGAACTTTCAGAAGAAATCTGGGAGACTTTTGACTTAGCGGGAGAGGCAGAACGGGAAGAGGAACTTTCAGAAGAAATCTGGGAGACTTTTGACTTAGGAGAGGCAGAACGGGATGAAGAACTTTGAGAATCCACCTTTGACACATTTGACTTACTGAGGGAGGCAGGGTGGGATGGAGAATTTTTAGAAGTGGTATTTGTTTTTGTGGAAGAAACAAAGCATAGAGGAGAGACTTCGGTAGTTTTCTTGGATGCTTTTGGTTTTGTTAGTGAATCAGGAACTGAAGCACTTTCATTTGTGACGTTTGAATTTCTAGACAAGGCTGAAGTTGTTGATGCCAATTCTGTTGTCAATGGCTGTGTCTTCAGTGGAATTGCAGGATTTGTTGGTGAAGATGTTATAACAGTTTTTATTCTTGCTACACTTCTTGATTTATCTTTTTGATTGGCATGTGTATCAGTTGGTGGCAGAAGTTTTACATCCTTCGTTTTGTCTAGCAATGGTGTACTTTTCAGTAATGTTTGACCAGGTGTTGAGGGCAGAGAGTTCAAAGGTTGACTGAAAGGCAAACTGTTAGTCACAACTGGCATTGGTGAACTGGTGCTCTGTGCAGTTGATAGCTTAGAAAAATGCGGAGGGCCAGAAGGTGTTTTGGGTGGCGGAGGTGAAGATGTTGGACTCGGAGTGTTGGCAGTGTCCTGCCGCTGACGGATATTTGCCAAGCTCTTCAAGAGTCCAGAAACCACTTGTTGCTTACCAGATTCAGCTTCCAGGCTTGTTGAAGACTTAGTGACTGATTTTGAAGCTCGGTGTTGTTTGTCTTCCATTGTCCGACTTGTTACTTGCATCATAAGCACTGGTGAACCAGGGGAGGATTCTCTTGATTGTTTCTCTTCAGAAAAATCCTTCCGTGATGATCTCTCTTTTTCCAAGGACAGAGCTGATGGGTTACTAGAAGCTGGATCATTAAATGTTTTCCGGAGCTTGGTTTGAGCCCAGCTTGGTTGCTCAGTGGTATTATGAGATTTTCCTAAGTCTCGCTGAGGAGAAGACTGTTTTGAAAAGAACTGTGAATGTGAAGTTGATGAATCAGCAGAACTTTTGAAGGTTTCTCTTGTTTCATTGTCTATATTTTTAAGATGATTCCTCAGAGCTGATGGAGTATTTTGCCGTTTTTCATACAGCTCATTCTCTCTTTGTTTTTCTGCTTTCAACTTCTCTTCAGCCTTCTGAATTTGTTCCTTTCTTTTTTCATACAACCTTACCTTTGTCAGTGATTTTGAATTTTCGCAAGTAGCCATATTTGCAGTTTGTTCCATTTTCCTGTTAATTTCAGGCACTGAAGAGTCATTGAGTGTAGCACCATTTGAGAAACTTCTTGACAAAATCTTACTAGTTGGAGACATATGGCTGCCTCGAAAACAGGATCTGTGGTACAGCTTTCCATTATCAATTTGTTTCTCAATTAAGTACACTTTCTTCTGGCAAAGTGCGCAAAGATCATCAGCTGGGGAGCGTTGGCGTGTGGGTGATGAGCCAATCTACAAAGAGATGAAATAATTATTTCAGTATTTGTATTATATCAGTACACAAGAGATGACATTTACTTCAACAGCTTAATCAACAACTAGGAAGAAATGAGCCAAAAAACAAATGGTCTTCACAAAACTGACAAGAATCTTTAAATGCTAGAAATCCTACCTACACCCACTCAAAAAAATGAAACCAAACCAAACCAAACCAAAAAAAAAAAAAAAAAAAAAAAAAAAATCCTTGTTCTACTATTCAAACTTTCTCCCTCTATGTGTTATAATAGAGAAATATGACAACTGAAATCAAGCTGAGATAAGAAACTAGATGCGCTCAACATGAAACACCTGAGGAAAATACTAGGAGTTAGGTGGAACAATTTTCTAACAAACAATGAAATTAAGAAACAAACCCATCTCAAAGAAAAATCTACAAACAGCAGATAAGGTAGTCTGGCTATGCAGCAATACTTGTACCATTTAAATTGCATTCCAAGTATCATGGAAAATGGAAAACAGAAATGAGGCTGGCTGAAAAATATCATTGGCAACAAATTATCCAAGACATCAGATTGTTGGGACATTAGTGTCGTTAAATCTATCAGAAGGATTTGTTGTTAATGGTTGTGTGTTTCACTGCATCCCAAACAAATAAACAAACAATCATTATGTTCAAAGCAAGAAAAACGAGACATATATAGATTAAAAACAATACAACATTTATATACAATTGGTCATTTACAATCTGGAATAAAATCTGTGTGAATTGTGTGCGTAAGTTGTATGTGTATGTTTGAAATAATGAATGTCTCTTGTTTCGTAATGTTCGTTAATTTCTTGTTGGTGTCAAGATTGTGATAGTGAAATTTAAAGGTTCTGAAAAAGAGTTTGTTCGAAGTAGTCTACCCTTAATCGTATTTGTATTCCTTATCTTAGTAATGAATATAATTCATTATATATAAGGAACTAAGTAAAAGGTTCAAGAATCGTTCGTCGAATGTTCAGAGTGAGTCAGTGAATGTTCTTTGAAAGCGCGGCAAAATTATGGTTCAAACGTCAGGAGTATTTTAGCAATTACTCGGTGAGTTAGCGAGACTGACTGAATGAAGTTGGTAATTTTCTTTAACGTCTGGTCAGCGATGACTAAGACGGGAGTCGGAGAAATATTACATCTTGAAGGTTGGTAATTACAGCTTCTCTGCTTCTACTGAATGGAGCTGTCTGCTTTTCCTTTTATATTGTTTGAGTTTCCAAAAGTGGCTCAACTCGTTTTGGCGCAATTTCTGTTTCTGTAAACGATTGACCAATGGAGTTGCTTGCTTCGATTTTCGCCATTTCTATTGGTTGAAGCTTTTAGTACGTAGGTGTACGATGTGGACTGTACCTTTTTTAGGTTAGAAAAGGTGAAGATATTGGATGAGTCCACAAGATAAACGAACAAGAGTGAAAATGACATTAGGTTACTGACAGTCAAATTATCATAGTGAACAGCACTGTTAGAAATCAAATGATGAAAGAATGGTGATTATGATAGTTTAATGAAATGGGTGTACTGGTTAAATGGTAACATGAAACTTGAATCTTCAATACTTAACATATTTTATTCAACTTCTGACTTTGCCCTGTGTGTGTATGTGTGTGAAGCAATCCATTTGCCCCTGGGTCTGATACATGGACCTTACATTCCCATGTCTGACATATGAGACTATGCCCCACCTTCTCTGAAGGGTTTTTTTTTTTATATATCTGTCTGTTCACACTTATGCACATATCAAGCACAACTTTGTCCACAGATGTTCAGCTTTTGAAGTGATTATTGATAAATTGCAGATCTCCATCCTCAGTTAGAAATCATGTCAGGTTAGCCTTGCATCTGGCTTGTTTGGTGTAAACTTGGGTGCCAACCCTGTTCCAGCATAATCCCATAATAGCAGTTAAAAATCAATGTTGCATTGAGTATTACAACCATTATGATGTATTACTGTTGCAGATATTTACTCTGGCACAACCATGTAGCCATCAAAATTCAAACCCCAGTAATAGCTTAGTTGGTTAGCATCATTGCTGTATGGTAAGTATTTATCAAATATTGCTTTTGTATAAAATTGTTATATAGGAATAAATTATTGCTGCATACATGCCCAGATGAAATATACCTTATTAAACTATTTAATATTGTATTGAAAAGATGTACTGTAGAATTTCCATGTATTCCGGTGGTTTATATATCTCTTTGCCCATACTTATATTTAATATTATGTTATTAGGGAGTTAAGTAGTTTAAGTAACCAGATAAGCATTAGTCTCACAGAAATCTCAGTCTTATATACAAGACCCAGTGGATATTTTTTCTCAGAGTGTATATGGTGGGGAAGGGGATATGACTTTGAATTTAGTCATTTATTTTCAGTTTTATTACATATACTAGCTTTATTCTCTTTTTAGTAATCAGTCAGTGCCATGTGTGATACACGCTTAGGCAATCATGTATCTTTTGATACATGACTGACGAGGCAGATTTTTTTCCTGCAGTAGGTTGTCATTTCTTTCTGCAGTACACCATTTGCCATCCAAGGCTATAGAACCTGGTCTATCCTGCGATTTGCCCATGGCTGGGGGGAGAAGAAGAGGATTCATACCTTTCCCAAAGGTATTAGGACGTAAGTGAATGTAATGGATTCAACTGGAATTCGAACTTGGCTCTCCAATTCCTCAATCTGAGTCACTATCCATTACTCCACCGTACCTCCATGCTGACACTATCAAGTCAAATTTGTAGATTTGCATTTTTCTCACTTGGGTCAGAAGCTAGTATTTGAACTTATAAAAGCTATGGTTTGAGTCTAGACTTTTAAAGCAGGTGTTAGTAGTCATTTGATATACATGCACAGCCATCTTAGTCATAAATCTATCTTTATTGGTCTTGTGCTAGACTAAATAAAGTTAAGTATGTATTTATTTTCTTCACTTCATGCCCATCAGTGTTATTTAGACTCCATTGTGACATATAGAACCAAGATGTGGCTGATGTGGTTTCTGTTTGTAATGTGAAGTTGCCGGTCCCATGCCCAACAGGTTTTGAAGTGAGTTGCCCTTCTCCTAAACTGGTTGTCATCCAAGCATAAAGATTACTTTCTACTCTGCTATTTAACTCATAGCTGGGAGGAAAGGAGATGGATTTATACCTTTCCTAAAGTCATTTGTACAGAAATGGACACACAAACTCAAATGGAATTTTTACACAGTATTCCAATTGTTTTTTTTGCATTGATAATTGCCACACAACATGCACATCCATATATAGAATTTCACTTTTTGGGGCAGGAGAATATTTCTCCCCAGTTATTTTGCCCAACTAATTTCAGAAAACAGTTAAATATTAACTTCCTGCTCCCATTTTGTTCAGAAAAACTAGAAACCAAAAAAGTTGTGATTACAGCAAGTAAAAGATTTTCATTTGTTGTACATATTCCTACAGCTCCCAGATGGGTTGCATTTTATGATTACATTTTTTTTTTTTTTTTTTTTTTTTTTTTATTTTGCTTGTCTTATTCCCACAGATGAGGAAAAAACTAGATGCAGCAGAAATGTGGTTCTACAGAAGGATACTGAAAATTCCATGAAGAGAGTGAGTAAGCAACAAAGAAAGCTTAAAAAAATATGGCAACAGAATCGGGGGGAAAGATAATGGAAATTCCTTGGATACATCACGAGAAAGGAGGGCTTGAAAAAGTCTCATGGGACATATTGCAAGCCACTTACCTAACGAGCTTGTGTGAAAGGATGGTAGTACAGAGGGTGGAGGCTTTAGCAAAGGGAGAAAAACTGTTAAGAGCCATGATGTAGGAAGTTGTGGAGAGCCATGATCACCTACATTTTAAAGAGATGTGGCACATAGAGAATATAAATTTCTACACCTAAATTCAAGTAAGATTTTTAAGACATCCATACATACAGACATTTTTAAGTTGTTTTTGGCAAGGTTTCATAAATTTATTGAATTAATTTTTTGTAGTTGCACATTAGTTATACTTTCAAACCCAACTGATAACTCAGTGATTTTGGGGGGATTGTAAGAATTTTTTTTAGGAGATAATTTTCTGATACAAGTTTTACTATTTAACCCATAGCTGAGAGAAGAAGAGGTGGATTCACACTGTTCCCAAGGATATATGCATGTAAGTGAATATAATGAACCTGACCAGAATTCAAACTGCTCTCCGATTTCTCATTCTGAGCATTTATCCATTATACAATCCACACATTCAAGCTTACACTACCTGGTATTTCCAAGTGGTCACCAATCTATGTACTTATCAGGTTCAAGGTTGTTTAACCGGTGACTGGATGAGAACTGGTATTTCAACATGACATGTAAGCTGGAAACATACTTGTGAAATGTGTTCATTGAAATGATTGTCATGCCACATGGTCCAGGATAATTTAATACTTACCTTTTTGATTTTTTCCTCACTTTGATCAGGTGTGCTTCGTTTTGGCTCTGTTGTATTCAATGGATCGTTGTCTTGGTGCCTCTTGGTTCCAATTTGGATATTGCCCTCTTTATAGGAGGACACACCTGGGCCACCAACTGTACAATAAATAAATAAAAACAGCAGTAATTTACAAACATTAAACAAAGATTGCTATGTACTTCAGATTATTTATTAGACTTTGTTGCTTATTTTAAATTATGTCATTAAAGACTAGTAAATCTCCCAAGTAGGTAATATTCCCCTATACAAGTTCCTAATATCTATTTGATACAAATATACTGTGAAAAATAAATTGGCTATACTTTTTCAGTCCAAAATTGTATGAGTGTGAGAGGAACAAGCATTTACTCATAAATTATTTTAACTGAATTTTCACCTAAATCCCAGATGTTTGTTTTTGATGCAAAGTGCACTATTTGTATTTACCAAGGTTTTCTATTACATTTGAAATTAGTCTTGGAGTAGTATTATTTGTATTTGAAAGATTCATACTGAACAAAACTTCAATGTGGTACTTTAAAAATTAGTCTGTATTGTTATAAACAGAAAAGAGCTCAAAATATCAAAATAATAAAATACTATAAGTCAAAGAGGTTGAATGATATTTAGTTTGGCTCAAAACACAAAATCCAAATTGCTTTCATGATCAATTGAGAAGTAATCAGATATTCTATCATAGGATTCAATATTACAATCAAAATGAATGTCATCCTTGGACCCATCCATTGCCTTACTGATACCATATTTCTTAAATGAGTTAACAATATCATTTATTTTCCCATGTGAATTCTTCATCCACATGCACACATGATGGTATGATGATGGACACATAAGTGTTTATTGAAGGTTTGATGAAAATCAATATAAAACACTAGATTTAGAAAAATAACTACTGCACATACCACCAAACCTTTTTCTTCATGTCTATGTACAGACCATTTATCAACTTGTGTAACCACTGCATACACACAGTGTTAATATTTTTTCACAAGCAGAAAATGATAAAAATATATAAATTGAGCTAGAAGCTATATTAATATCAGAGGTTTCTGTTTGTGTAGCCATAATAGTGGCGACTCTGGAGGTCAAGCTTAGCCCAAGTGAGTCAACATCCAAGTATAACTATTTCAAAGCAACAAAAATATTTTATAGTGTCATTTTCATTCTTGACTTTAGTTGCATCCGAAATTGTTTTAACTCCATGCCCCAAAATATTGACCAAAATACATTGATAATAGAGAAGAAAGAAAAAATAAAAAAAGAAAGTAAAAAAAAAGAATGAAATAAAATTAACATGGCTAGTTGGGCTGCATAGATCTGAGCCCTATCGAAGCTGGAGACATATTTAATAGGCAATGTATTTATTGTTCTAATTTTATAAATGTTTGAAAAATCTCTAATGACCTGTATGCCCTGTTTTTCAAAGAATACATTTTTTATTTCAACTTATTGTTTTCAAATTTTGAATAATTTATTCTGTACAGTACAAGTTTTTTTAGTGGAATGTATCTTGGGAAAGGACAGATTAAATTTAGCCTGACTTAAATTATGAACAAAAAAAGAAAAAAAGAAAAAAAAAGTAGCAGCCTTAGCTCGTTGACTGGATAGTTGGCATGAGGAGCATAACTGAGGTAGCGTTGAGAAAATATGATATCAGTCAGCTGTAATGATCATAAATGTATATTAAACATACTAAAAACAGTGCTATAGCCTGTTCAACTGTTGAACTCTGCCTCAGCAGAGAGAAACCTGGATGAGGCTTTGCTGAAGGGCAAAGTTTCGTCCGGGGAGGTAGACAGGCCCTGAACCCGTTTATACGGGTTCTAAGGGAATATTTTTGGCTGAGTCTATGGGCTCAGAGAACCCATGGTAAATTCGGCCTTGTGCCACATACATCCCTTGTGGGGGGGTGTTAAAAATTAACATACTAAAAACTCGGAGAGATACATAAACACACTAATGCATAGATATATATATACACACAAACACACACTACCATTGGTGACTTGATAACCAGGTTATAAAACAATAAAAAAAAAAATGAAAGTAGGCAATAAACAGACAAATATATCAAAGACACTGCCTTCAATCTTTTTTCTTACATGTCTTGAAAAAAATCTTTTTTTAAATATATATTTATTTTTATAGAATTATTACAATTAATTTTCAAAAATACCAAAATGTGTTTTTTTTTAATGCACAGAGATTTTTAAAAATGATATATTTTAGTTAGAGGAAAGGAATGATTTCAGCATCTAAGTTATACCAATAGTATATTTTGTTAATGATTGTAATAAGCCCAACAAACATTGATGACCTAGAGTTTCCACTGAGCCATACTGTGATCAGGCTTAAACAAAACCCAATGACATGATTATTTTTTTGACATTATAATTCACAAGATATCCAATTGTGTCATGGGCAATGAAAGGTTGTTCAAGTCATTTAAAGTCACCAGAGGTCATGCCATTTCTTGCCAAATGAAGCAAAATAGAGTAAGAAATACAGTTTGCTTCAACTTTTACTTAAGGCACCCATTGTGCCTCTTGACATTTTTAAGTTGTGTAATGGGGCTCTCCTCTCTCTCTCAAGCAGATTGAATTAACAGCCATAACTGGAGTAGATAAAAATATGAATGCGACTCAAAAATTGGTGTTTTTACCTAGAGTATGTTAAAGACTTTTTCAAGGTATTCGTAGCAGATGCTAGGCTTCATAGAAAATCTAATGCAGCCATATTGAAATTTTCAGCCATCATAAAGGTTGTATATCCATTCCAGCACAACATTACAAAAAATCATGTAATAATTGAGCCCAAAAAGTGCCATTAAATTTTGTGCTTACTTAGAAGACTGAGGACCTTTGAGTGTTATTTGTGCATGCATTCCCATTAACAAAAAATCTTTTTGGCACCACCTCATTATAAAATAATTAAAAAAAAAAAAATTTTCCTGCATTTCCTTTGAAGTTATTCTCTCTACCATTTGAGAAATGCCGGGTATCCCTGCTAGTGCTGGGATAACAGAAGAAACAAGATAAAAAAATTCAGACTTTCTAAACTATTACAACATTTCTTCAGAAAGAAGCATAAAAAATGCTAATATGAAAATGGGGTTAAAAAAGAAGAAAAAAAAAACAGGGTTTAATCTACAAAGATTAGAATATTGAAGGCGTTATTCAAATAACTTACGTTTTTCTTTGTCCTTGAAGTAATTGTGCATACTTGCAACATAAGTAATGATGCTTAGTTTATCTGGTACTGGGAGGTCATTCATGTCTTTTGCTTCTAAAAGAGCTGCAATGCCAAGACTCTCAGCAACAGTGAATGCCTGAATAATAATAATATAAACAATCTCTAGTATGTATCTGAGGAATGATGATATTATTAAAAGAATTGTGATCAGAAGACAACTAATAATTTCAAGAGTTAAGGGAAAGTTATTTAAACAGGTTAGTATGCACTATACAGAAATTCAGAAAAATGTTACATCATATGGCTTAATTCATTTGGTTAATTAGTACATCAAACAATTTCTTCAAAATAATAAAATTTCTTTTTATCAAAATGTTGCAGTAAGTCACTTTACAATTAATTCTGAATTTGCTGCTTTAAAATTATAAGTAAATCAACACTTATGACAGTCAGGTGATGAATTTATTACAAATTTAAATCTCAAATATTATTTTTAAACAGTTTTGTTTTAAAGTGTGTTATGGAAAAAAAATGGTTGATATACTAATTGTTATGGTAATTTACCCATGTATGCATGGACTCTCCCAGCTATAAATAGGAGCAGGTATTGCCTTTTGAAGAGAGAAGTTTCCAGCAGTCAGTTCTGACAGTTGGACCAAACATTCTTGCTGTAACACTCATTTGTATATGTTTGTATTATCCATATTAACCTTTTACCACTCTGTGACTTCATTTGCTGTACAGAAAGTGTATCCTGTCACTGAAGGTAATTGATCCCTGAACAATAAAGTTTGAATTTCATAGTTGTGTTGTCATATCCTACTATGACAACAGAAAACAACATTGAGTGAAATTAACAATAAGTCTATTACAATTGAGAGGCCTTGAAAAAGAATGCAGTGGAAAAGGAAGTAATATTAATAATTCTGAGTGCTAAAGGTTAACAAAGGATGATGTTCGTTTTCAACTTGTTTCTCTGAAATCAAGCAATAGAAACAGTGTGGGAGCAGTTCTGTTCCAGTATTCATGATAGCAATTAGCACATTTGGGCCTATGCCATTGTTATGCAATTGCAACTTAACCCCAAATATGTTAGGTACCAAGAGTATCATATCAAACAATATGCATCTAGCTTCCCAGAATTATTTTTTTTTTAGCTTACCAACTCGTTATGGGTTGTTTACCCCCCCCCCCAAAAAAAAAAAATTGAGTTGTAAGAATAATGTGAGGTGAGGAAATGGATTCAGACCTTTCTCAAGAGTATTTTTGTGTATGTGAATGTAGTAAACTCAACTGGAATTCGAACTTGGCTCACAGATTTCTCTATGCATCATACCATCCACCTCTAGATTGAACAGTTGCACAGTAATTAGACATTACATGTAATGCCCTTAATAGACAAGCATTGCCAAATACATACACACAATGGGCCTGAGCCCATGTGAGGAGACTGTGCAACAATTTTTAATTGTGCTTATTGACAGCTATAGAGAGGTTGTGGTGAGTATTACTATAATTAAAAAAAAAAAAAAAAAATAAAAAAAAAATAAAAGAGAAACAGTATGGCTGTTTGGAGTATCAGTTGTACAATGTCTTTTCAATCCCAATTGGTGAAACTACCATTAACCCCCCCCCCCACACACACACACAAAGCATGACCACTTGGCTCGTCAGCATCTGCAGCCTTTCTGATCTCTTGCTCATTTTATTGAGTGGCTGAGGCTCGGAAATTTTCATAAGCCATAAATTAGTCTTGTAAAATCTCTGAGCTCCAAGATGGAGTTGTTCTTAAATGGGAGCTTTTGGTTTGGACATATTTTCTTTTATGCATTCTGCACGTGAGACACACATGGGCACGTTTTGTTCCAGGAGGTAAACCATTTTCCCTTCTACTGCAGTTGACATTTTAACAGTTAACATTGTGTGGTAAGCAGCAATGTAAAAATTTCCAATATATGACAGTCTCAAAAAAAAAAAAAAAAAACTGTTATAGTAATAGTTGATGAGTGGAATGCAATACCAAACATTCCAGTGAGAATTATGAGGTGAAGAGGTTAGTGATTGATACCAATATTAAGAAGAACCCGTTTCTAACATTGGGCTGAAATTTTGCCTTAACCCATTATTATAGTAGCACACTAGATTAACTAATAGAAGCTTTATATGTAGTATAATGTTCTCTTCTTGGGCAAAAGAGGCATTCATAGTAAACAGACTAAAAATAAATGGTAAAAGTTAACCTATAATAATCCTAATATTCCCTAACTTATTGTAAGTATTGCATTTAATTGTGAAATTTAATGTCATAAACACTTACCAACTGATTATTTTCATAGACATTGTTTTTGGAGAGAGCATCAAAATTGCTGAAAGAGAAAGCAGAATTATACAAAGAAATATTTCTGATGTCATTTCAATAGTTATTAAAATTATTCTAAATTATTTACTGTTATTGTTTCTTTTTACAGATAAGGTTTGAGCTATGACAGTATCCCAAGAACACCTATATATCGGCTTCAATTTTAGTAGAAATGACCTAAGGAAAAATAGTAGAAAATGACATAAGAAAAGTCTTAGAAAACACGTCAAAGATAAGAGAAGCAGACGAAAGCAGCAAGTAACCTACTTGGTAAGCTAGAGCAAATGGATAGAGAGGAGTCATAAAAGTAAGTATTGTCAAGAGTAAGAAAAAAAGGGAAAAATGTGGAGAACCATGATCACCCAACAAGCACATGGCACACATACAGAAATCCTCATGAGATTTGAATTTTATAGTTTATATGCTCAAGTTGTATCCTGTGCACTTAAAGTTAGGAAAAAGGATTATCATTGGTGAGGAATTAATGCTTATGTTATGGACACATAGGATAAGATACATATAATTGTTTCAAGTTAAAATTAGAATTGATACTATAATCTGTAGGCAACTTAATGTAATTCATATTTTTGTGTTTGATTTTTTAGATATTTCAGTTGTACCAATACATAAGAATTTAATGAACGAACAAATTGGAATTATAATTAATAATTATTGCTACATACCATGAAACCATTTCAGGAGTTTACTATATTTCACACCAAGACTTGTTTGCATTAACAACAGAATCAGCACTGCATGGTGACTATCAATTTCACACTTCAATGAAATCTTCAGACAGTCTGAAGATTGCATTAAAAATTGAAACACCATTTAGTGTTGATATCTGTTCACACTGTTAATATCTATAGATGCTTTATATCTTATATTGATCACTTTTCTCCTATTAATATAGAAAATTTTAAACTATATATCTCACAAACTTACATGAGATCAGGCCGGAATCGGTGAATGAGAGCACAAAAGGCTAATCCATCTCTCCATGAACTGCTCATATTGGTGATATTAACATCTTTATATCCGTCAACAAGTGCTTTGCACCATTGCTGAAGTGCACGAATCTTGGTATGTGACATAGCTGTTTTCTACAAGTTGTAAAAATTAATAAAAAAAATATTGATGTGACTCCTAAAACTGTTCACGCCACTGGAACTTTTGGAGCTGCATTTTTAAGCAGAGCACCTGTGAATAGAAAATAAACAACTTTAAGAACATTGCAGTTATCAGAATTTACATTTCGCTATAAAATTCAGATTGTAATTTCTATTAAATAATTAAAAAAAAAAAAAAAAATCACACCAAGCAAGGCAGTAATCCACTAAAATTCAAGGAGTGTGGAAGAATTAGGAACAGATAGATTGTTTGTTTGTTTTACCAGCACATCAAAACCTCTGTAGGTCATTTAATGCTGAAACTAGATTTTTATTCAGGAATGTTTCAAAATGTTTCGAGTGGTTGTGAGGTTTTAAAATTGTTTTTGAAATAGTTCAGGAGTATTTCAAAACCCAAGTTGTATGGTTCAAAATCCAAGATCTATTTTCTATAAAAGTTGGAAGTATTTTATTTTCTTCAGATACCCTATTATTTGGACAATCGGTACATTTTTTAAGAATATACTAAGAATTTGTGCTTGGTAATAGTTGCTATGTATTTTTTTGTACATATTACATTCTATCAAGATATATTTGACTGAGAAATTAATTGTAATGGAAACACCAAGGTGTGTGTGTGTGTGTGTGTCCAATTCTTATTCTATTGCTCACTATGTCTTTTCCATGATCAGCTAATAACTCTAATTGGCTGATCTTCATATAGTTTATTGTTTGGGAACATGTCCCAAGTTGCTTGCCATTTTCTCTTGTATTGTGTAATTTTGCTTTTATAATCTGCATATGGGAGTTTGATTTTATTTATTTATTTTTTTTGTTGCCTCTTTTGCCAGTGTGTTGGCTTCATGATTTCCCTTGATGCTTGTATGGCTAGGAATCCAGGTCAATATTATTGTCTTGTGCTTTATTAAATGACGACAAGTTTCTAGGATTTCTTGAGAGACAGGGATTATTTGTGTGCTTTTCTTTAATTGCTGTTAAACTAGATAGGAAATTTATATTCTCAGACACCCTATCTTTTGAATTTTTCGATCATCTTAAGTGCCATTTTTATGGCTTGCAGTTCAGCTGTATAGATGGATGAATTATTTGCTAACCTAGTTTGTTTGTATATTTTGCTGTAGTGCATTAAAATCTCCCATTAGTAGAAACAGAGTGGGAACTTGTCCAATTAACCTATTTCAGTCTGTTTTTTTGGAAGAATATAAATTAAACATAGTTATTGCTCGATGAATTGAAGCTTTTACTGTCTTGGGCTGTAGATGTGTGTTTAATTGTAGATGTCAGTTTCTCTGTGAAAGGTCTCCTGTAAGTAAACTATATTTGGATTGTATTCTGTAAGCAGTTGTTTGATTTCCTCATAGTTTGGTTTAATACCTCTACAGTTCCATTGTATGATGAATGTGTTCCTTTTAGCCATTTGAGTGATAATTATTTTTATGAGTGTATCTTAAGGATGATTGTTTTTGTATTAAGTATCCATATTTCCTTTCCATTATGAGATTTTTTGTTTTGTCAAGTTATACCATGTTGTTTATGATGTGTTGAGGATGTATAATCCATTTTCAAATTTTTCAGACTTCTCTTGTCCTTGTTTGGCTATTTTGGTTTAGTTTTTGTCTTTTTCTCTCATCTTTGAGATAAGTCTTTTTTTTTTCTTTTACTGATTTGTTTTTTTTTTTTTTTCCTTTTTGTCTGGCTTTTTAGGCTTTAATGAGATTTTGCAATTCATTTATTAATGATATTAATTCTGTTTTCTCAGGTTATTTCCTAGATTTTCACATAGTGGTGTTTTGGTGATTTTTACATAATTTAGTAGAGAAAGAGGTTTCTGTAAGTTTTCTTGTTTCTGGGAATGTAATATTTTGAGTGATTTTAGTTCTTTTTTTTTTTCTTCTTTAGACTCAGCTCTGCAATCTCCATTGAAGTTGATACATTTTACTTGATTCTTACATGTTGTATCATCATGATTTGGTTCTATTTCCCCCACATCTTGCACACGTTTTTTCCTGTACAATATTCCTTTAGATGGCCACAGCTTTGACATTTGTAGCATCTTCTTGCATTTCGAATATATTTATCTACTTTGGCCATTAAATATCCATCTTAATTTCAAATGGTAGTGTTGGAATATTGAAACTTTATATGTGTGTTTGTTTTTATTATCTGATTTTTTTTTTTTAATTATCCTCCTTTTGGTGTAAGTCAATTTTTTTTTTCTTTTTTAAACTCTGCTCAGATCTTCATTACGAACTACATCTCTGGAGTCATTTAATCTTTCATGTGGGTATGCTTTTACATTAATGTTATGAAATTTTTAATCCTTATCAGTTTGCTCAAATGTTTTTTTATTTTGTATTTCTACCAGGATGATTCCATTTGTTTTACTGACTTAGAATTAACCATTGTGGATATAACCCTCTGTATAAGGAATGGTGATAATTTAGTTAGTGGCACCTCCTCTCTAGATTCTAGTAATATGAATCTAGAAAAGAGTATCTCAAGCTGCTCTTCATCAGAATCTGACTCCATGTGGAGTCTTTTAAGCTTGGGTTTTTCTTTCTGTTTCCATGTAATGAAATTGTTCCATTAACTGTGCTCCTCACCCACCACGGAGCTGTACAAGAGGAAATGCCAAGGGGGAAGCCAATTCACTTTAGCAGATCGGGGCTACACAGTCAGTATACTCACACCATGATGAGGTAATATTTGTTTAAGCTCCTAAGTTTTAGTTCCCAACTTTTTCCCCAGGCATAGTTTGAAACAATCATCCCTTATGAGCAGGATTGAACCTACAACCATCACCTTCTTTTTCCAGAGTTTGTGAGAATCTGAATCAGTGATTGGTGTGACCACTTGGTTGATCAGATTGGGCCACTGACTGCCTGTCAAGCCCAGGTAAAGGCCAAAGTGATGTATTGGAATTCAGGAGTTAAAACCATCCCTCCTCCTGAAGCCCTCAAACACCAGGATCCCATCCCCAGGCAGGTGGCCTTATGGGTGATGGTGGGTGATGCCCTTCTTCAGAGGTGCAGTTGGTGTATTCTGAAGCCCCAGCTGACAACAGAACAGAACATTAATGATGAACAGAAAGAAGAGAGTAATCAAGAGGACAGTATATGGCAATTGACATTGCATTTAAATTTTTGCAGATTAAAGTTGACTTGAAAGCATGGAGCCAGAAGGTTGTTCCACAAGCGAGAAGTGCAAAAGAAAAAACCATAGAATTTACAGCTACATCTAGCCAGCTCAACTGTAAATTGATGAGATCTCGATGCTAATCTAGTGCTACGCTTAAATTAAAAAAACTCTAGGTACTATAGCAAAGAGCTCATCTGAACAATTACCATGAAAGTATTTATAGAAGACAGGCAACCTTATGGCAGTGAGGAAGTGACTGAAGTCAAACTGCTAGATCAGGACCAATAATATTGTTGATTCTTCTTTAGATTTTATCAAGGAGCTCAAGGTAAATAGCAGAGGCACTGGACCATATGTTGTAGCAACATTCTAAGCATGGATGAATGGTAGACTAATAGATATGTAAGATAGATTCTGGAGAGAAAAATGGTCTTGTCCAACATAGTGAACTGACTTTCTTAGCAGCAGACCTAACAATGGATTCAATATAGTATTTCCACTTTATATCAGCAGAGAATGTGAGCCCAAGAAGGGGCAATGTGTCACTTTCCTGGAGGCTAGCATCAGCCATGCTGATGGGAGGCAGTGAAGGGACTCTTGGATGATAAACATGTTAACTATGTGTACTTATTGCTTACCACTTCTTCACAAATTTTTATATTTTTTTAATTATTAACAGCAATTTCAATATAAGTTAAATAATATCTTCAATAAAGTTTGTCTTTTTTTAAATAGATGAACACGTAATACAGTAGAATCCCTCATATCTGGAATCCCACATGTCCAGACATGATTTTGATGTGTATATTTGAACTAATTTGGGTGATATGTAACTGATTTGAAATTTCTGTTTTTCAGGAAATTTACTTTGGATAATTGCTTATGCTTTTTTCACCCTAATGGCTTGTATTGGTGCAAAAGATGATGGGAATAAAAGGAAAACAACAACTTTGACGTTATCACAAAAAGTGGAAATTTTAAACAGACTAGATACTGGTGAAAGTTCATTGTAACTAATGGCCGAGTTCAACATAAGAAAGCCAACATTTAAAATCTTCCAAAGGAACTATTCTCTAGCGTTCACACTGTCACAATCAACAAGGAAATAAAAAACATGATTGTGATGAAACCTGGACTGAAATTGAAAAGCTATTGAAAAGGTTGTCAGTTTTATGGAAAGAAATCCAGCATTCAGCTATGATGATTGCAATAACACACACAGAATTAAAGATGTTTTTGGTTTAAAAAATTTCAAGAACAAAAAGCAAAACAAAATGCAGAAAAAAATTGAGAATGACATTAGAAGAGAAAGAATCATGTAACAGCGATTTAAAAAAAATCCTCATTACATTATTTGTTTTGTATATGTGGCATACTTAATTTAATGAATTTTCATTAAAATTACATTATCTCTTTTTCCTTAAAATCAATTCCGTTATATTTAACTAACCATTAGCTTATTTTCTTTACTATAAAACACTGAAATTAAATGTCAAACCTGATTTCAGTTCTTTTACTTTAATCTAAATATAACCCCTCATATCCGGACTTTGTAACCAATTCCTCATATCCAGAAGGCCTTCTTAGTCTGGTTGTCAGGGATTCAACTATATATGAAAGTTTTGACATATTTAATATATCTGATTCATGACATACTTTATAAAAAAAAAAAAAAAAAAAAAAAAAAAACCTGTTTTATTTAGTTGATAAATGCCATCTTTGACATAATTTTAGTCGCACAACAT